TTAAAAAAGTGAGAAATCAGCGATATTTTGCTCGATAAAAATAAAACGTTTGACCTCTTCTATATACTTTCAGATACTTTGGTATCAATACCTAGCATATTGATACAAAAATATATTGAAGGGATGAGTAAGTAAATGGCTACCGCACACGGTTTAGTCGTTCAACCTATAGAGGGTGGTTATGGTTTTACTTAGTAGATATATGAACTACGTTCACTACTCTAGTGGTAGTAGACTAATAACGCACTGGACTTTTACGAGGTCTCCTTTATGGACGTTATGAGACTGCAGTACGTTTTTTTTTCTCTTTTTTACGGATTATTACAACTCTATATATTTAAGTACTGCACTTATCAAGTATCAAAAAAGCTGATAATTCCTTTCTGGTTTTCGCTTCATGCCTATTTGAAAACTCAGTCATTTACAACTTCTATAGGCTTTTCTATTCGACTTTTTATTCTTTAAAATCAATTTACATTGGTTTAATTATTTCTTTCAATAACAAGCTGAATAATATGATTAATAATCGTTGTTTTTTAAATTTTTATTGACAATTAAATTCTGAACAATTGTTTTATTTAAATTGTAAAAAATGATTGTTTTTTTGATTTCAATAATTCTTTGTTATATGAAATGAATATTTGATAAAATTTTGGAGAATAATTGAATCTAAAGATAGGAAAATAGAAGTGAGTGAATAGAGCATACAAATTTATTAAGATTCATTGGGTATATGTTCAACAAAAGGCTCATAAATATTAAAAGCAGGTAAATGCCATTACTTATTCGACAATAAATGATTTCCTTAGTTTATAAGAATCTACAATTGGAGATAAATAAATTTTTGACAAAATTAAAACAATAGAATTTTAAATCAACTCCTTGATCGTTGGCAGTTTGACTCTTCTACTATAGTCACCGCATTCGCGTAAACAGTTAATCTAAATCCAGAGCAAACAACGACGTAATGTTATGCGGCGCGCAAAACTCATTATACTTGTAAACCAGTACGGTCTTCAAGTACCACAGCTCAAACGTATATGTATAGATATATTTATATATTTACTCAAGTCCCTTATACTTCAGTGAATATTCGATGGCGTCCCATAGTCCATAGCCATGATTCCTTTATACAACCCCCTATGTCACTTGAGCGATATCCTTTCACCTTCTTCTGCTCTCTGAGTCTCTTTATACACAGCACAAACGCTCATAGGATTCAGACCGACTCGAGCAGGATTTACACGCGGTCGACGCCCGGTACGCTCATTTATTTTGCTCCTTTTTTTTTTTTTATATTGTAGAACAATGCCTAAAGATTTAACGCGGATAAATGCATTTTTACTAGACATGCTTTTATCTTTATTTTCCACTCTAGCAGTTATAGTTTCTATTTCACAAAAAATACATTACAACCGTGGTGTATTTGTGTATATATATCTCGCCTAACCAATTCCTCTTTGTCTCTACTTTGTTAGACACCCGACCCTTGATACCACTGCAACTCCTTGATTTATTTTATATACGAGAAATTAGCAAAGCTAATTTGCAACATTTTAAATGCTCTTATTTATACGTTATATACCTAAATAATAGAATTTATTTTTGTTATCAATAATTAGTAAAAAAAATTATTTGAAAAATAATTATCTTAGAAAAAAACATTTATTTTTATTATTTATTACATAGTTCTTATTTTAAAACTTTTAATTCTTATTTCTAATAGACCAATAGACAGAGATGAAAGGATTATCGATTAAAGATCAATGATCATTTAACAATTTAGAGCCGCAATCATAGCTAATGATTGCATGTACTGCTTTCCTTGAATTTTATTACCATTCATTCTTAACTTTGCTCAAAATATATTTCATAATTATTTGAAAAAATTAAAATAGATACATACATTGCACAAAAAAATAATAAATTTTCTTTGATTTTATTCCTGAATATTTACTATAAATATTTTTGAATTTATTAATATAATTTTCTCAGATAAAAAGGCATAAAAATAAGATAAGACTATTTTCGATTAAAAATTTAAATTATTATCATTATTATTTTTTTCTTTATTTTGTATTTTTTAAATTTATTTATTTCCCGTTGTACTTATCAGATATTGAATGATAGTAGTTTCCACTAAAAATAGAGTCCCATTTTCTTGAAATCTCTAAAATTCAAGAAATTATAATATCAGATGATTTTAACCTCTGGAGAAATAATACATCCCCAAAATCAAATATCAAGTATACTATTATTACTATCATTTGTATTTATAAGATCTGTATCACTAAGTGACGGCGTGCGACGTGGTCAAGGCCTAACATGTCCGGTCTCCACCGTTGACCTAAGAATATATGAATGCATCTGCCCAATTCCGGCTCGACCACTACATCACTTATATGTTTCATTCTATATCGCCTTACACAATATATATATTCTTATACGTTTTATACATTTTTTATTCGCCTTCTATATCGCTATACAGCTGGCATAAAGACAAACGATTTCTATGAATATAAAATACTCACAATTACCTATATACTCGCACGACAAAACAAACGATATATATTACAAATTCGATTCACACTGCCCGCATCTTGACAAAACAATATAATAATTACACATCACTAAATCGTCGAACGGTTATTCATATAGGGGCACCGGCAACTTTTTAACATACTTCTTGTGTGGTTTCATAAAATAAGCAAACTTTAGATCCATTTTTTATTGACACATTAATTTTTTTATCCTCACTATCATAAGGAATGTTAAACAATAAAAATTTGTAATGATTGCATTCCAATCTAAAAAACTAATTAACATTCTTTTCTCCTTAAAATGAACGTGGAATATTTTTGAACATAAATATTTAATCAATTTGACTTTCCTCGATGATTTTTAATGATTTACACGTAACTAGATGTTTTTTTTTTTATCTATTTATTTAATTAAAATTTATGTTTTTAATAAATTGTAAAATTTTTTAATTCAATTTTTTTTTACATCAATCAAGTAATTGATTATTATTAAATTATTTATTGACATCTGCTATTTTAGGTGAGAATTATCCAGACGAATTACAACAGCTGACATCGAATTAAATTAAATAATAAGTTTCATGTTAAACAATAAAAATAAAAATTACTGTGCCTAGTAGCAAACGAAATAATTCATACATTTTATTAAAGCCATTTATCAAGGAGCCCACATTGCTTATATAAAATAAATTTAAAGAAGTATTTATGTGGCATGAAATTTCCATATTTATCCTGGCTATAATAATAATAATGACATTTGAATAAAATCGTGTGATATAAGATGGAAATGTTTTTATTCATTTATCCCGATTATTATAAATTATAATGCTGATTGGACGTTATTACCAATTTAAAACGATAATAATATTAAAGAATGGATGTTATGTAAGCATCATTGAAAAATATTATTTGCTTATCTGATAATAGTATTAATGATATTAATGAGCGGATGAGTAATCAGTGTAAGGAAAAAATACGAAGTAAAAGAAAACGAATAGGCAACAATTAGTTACCCCTGCAGAGTGTCCACGCGTCATTACAATAAATCTCGAGCCAAGTTGACTCAATTTTCATTGCAAGGAGTACGGAAATGGTCCTGTCATAACAGAAGCCGCGTGTCACGTGTTCGCGCCCCCTGTTTTGTTGCTTTCATAACCCTAGTGAGACCCTTATTTTGATGCTCGAATATAAATATATATTTACGATTATTAATCTTGGATTGAAGAAAAGGGTCAATCTGGCTTTTATATCAATTGATGAAAAGAAAAAATTCCTTCAAAAATGTTTTAAATAAAAAATTTTCTATTGACTTTTATTAAAAATTATTTTTTATTGTCATTCTTTTTCCAATAGTTTAATTTAGATTTATACTAGAAAATATTTTGTGAATCAACGTGCAAAAACTAGTAGATTTAAATATAGAAAGAGATTCTTGACGTTTAGAGAGAATTCCTGCATTTGTTGAATCGTTAATTGATTTAAAACTTTTGTAAACATTTTTTTTTAATTTAACTTAATTTAATGATCGTAATTTTTCAATTGAAAAACAATAAAACTTTGAATAATAGATAAGATTATTTTTAGAATTATCTTGAGTAACTTTAATTATTTAATAAAACGAAAAGTTCAATGACCCGTTTTTTTTACGTCAATCTCATTGTTTCTGCTAATTGGATCATTCAATCAGCGTGTATCATTCAGATTTATAGATGAATCCATAAATGATATTACTCCACCAAATAAATGACCTATTAATTTTAATTTAGTGATTTTAAAATATTCTTTAACTCGATATAACACATGGATACTAGAAAGTACAGTGTCTTGCATGCCACGTGGAAACGAGTTTGATAATCCATGCCCAGGAAGATCGAATGCAAATAAAGATACATTTTTGGGTAATCTCGTGGACAGTGGATCAAAAAGAAGAAGCATTATCTCGTCTTCTATGAATGGAAATGATTGGTTGTATATCTGGAGGACCCTAATATTTATCTAATAACAGATTTGGGTGTAGTATTAATATGCCATTTATGTAATAATTCCTTGACTGGAAAATGCGTTTATAATATTTCAAGAACATTCTATTGCTTGAAACTGAAATTGTAAATTTCGATAAAACTATTCCTAATTTTTAATGACAAGCTACGGAATACCTAGAGCTACTAGCTCATATTAAGATCAAGAATCTATGGAGTTTTAATGTATTCGGTTTTTGTTCCGTAACTGCTTAGAAATTCTGGGTCAGAGCATTACCAAACATTACCAATAAAAAATACATACTCCTAAAGTTGATTTTAATTAGAGCCAGATAATGAAATTATTTAACTAATTATTAATAACATAATATTCTTCATTATAACTATTATGATATAATTATTGAACAAAAAAGCTGATACTATTTTTATAATTTCGATTTGTTGAATATGTTTTTAATGGCAGATAATAACAAAATGTTTCTAAGTCAAAAAATCATTTTATTGATGTAGTTTTTTTATAAAATTAATGTATTTAAATTATTCAATCAACATGTTTTAAGATAAATGGATTTATAATTGCGGCAACTTTTTTAGGATTGCCCATATGAAAATGGTGAGTACCAGCTACTGAATGATGTTGAAAATCTTCTGAATGTTTTTCAATTACTTCGAGGACTTCGTAATAACGTTCCATATTATCGATTCGATTAAACTGATCGCCTTTAATAAACAGAAATGGACAATGAAATTGTTTGGCGAATATTTTCATTTGATCTACAGTAGAAGACAAATCAAATGGAAGAAATTTTACTCTTGGATCCTCATTGAAGTATAATGAGCCATCGGGTTTCTTTGTCATTCCTCTTTCCATTAATATTTGACTCGTCGCTACGTCTAATGAATTTTTTGAAATCGCAATCATTTTTTTGATGGCATTTTCATAAGAATATTTTGCTGGTGGATCGGGTGATTTTTCATTTTTAAAGAAAGCTTCTCGATATCTAAGAGACATAGGTAAAAGAGCTGAAGCTATATATGTTATTGGTTTATAATTATCAAGGGCTACGATGTATTTTACATCATTCGGATATATAGATGTGTACAGAAATGATGTTATTCCTCCCAATGAATGTCCCATTAATTTGAGCTTATTAATTTTGAAATGTTCTCTAACTCTGTCAAATATTTGAACAATAAAAAGTGCTGTGTATTGCATGCCGCGTGGAATCCAGCTAGATAATCCATGTCCTGGAAGATCTACTGCGAATAAGGATACATTTTCAGGTAATCTTATGGCTATTGGATCAAAAGAACAAGCATTGTCACGACCTCCATGAATAGCAATGATTGGTTGTACATCTTGAGGACCCCAATATTTACCTGACGATGACATATGAGTTTACTTAATAAAGTGGCCAAACCTTCCTACATTTTAGAACGTGTGATGTTTATTTATTACTTACCACATATTTTACCCCATGGTACTTTTATTTCGACCTCTTCAAATTTACCATTATTTGTAGCTTCACTTCCAACATTTCTCACTGAACTTATTGTTTTTAATTTACTCAATTTTTGGACAGTGTATCGACAGTATTTTAAAAACATTCTTTTTTTCAATGGGTAGAATCTAGAATTCAATTTTAAATTAAATTTTTATAAATATCAATTATCATTCAGAACATTCGTGTTGTGGGTCTATTTTTCAAATGTATGAACCAGTCTTTTTCTATATCTCAAGAAGTATTAGCTCCACGTTAATTTTTCATAAGACTTTTTTCGTAAATTTCAATAAAGAACAAATCTCTTAATATACAACATCTACATAAAACTAATGCTTTATAATGTATTTCGAAAAAATTGATGTTTTTGACCTTTAATCGTTGCTTTTTTTCAACGTCTATACGATTTCGTATTGAAGTTTGGATGCATAACAATATTTTTGATACTTAAATGACCGATATCCTAAAAAATAAATCTTTATCTGAAACAAGACACTTCTTGACCTTGACTGTTGGACAATAATTCCACTCTCGATTTCAAAAAGTATACATTCCTAATATAATTCACGTATGCCTGATCTACCTCAATTTTTTATTTTTTTTTACTAAAATTAGTGCTGATTTTCAGTTCATGTCACAATTATGTTTTATCTAACTACTTTCAAGTATTATCAATACAATATTATTATTGTTTTTTGAAAATTATTACTAATACTATTTTTGTTTACTTACACTCTATTCAATGATTAACACAAAAAGATTGACACTATTCAACAATAAGTTCAAAGTCCATTCGCATGTGAGTCTATTCAATGAACTTTACATAAACTTTCTTGGATCAGGGCACTCACTCAAACTTCGTACAGCCTTATTCATTCCGTTCTTCAGCTTGGAAGTCCCAATCCAAGTCTCTGGCTAAAAGAACGGCCAATAAACACGGCTGTTTGGATTACTGACCTAATCACGGTGTAATGCAAGGCCTATACAGCAGGTATCACGTCCCTGACTTTTCACTAATAGTCAGAATCAACAAGTTCGTTCAGGAGATTTTTGCATATTAAGTTTTGATCATTGTTTTAATCGAAATAATAACAATCAGTATTGATTGATTTCTATTAATCAATGTGTTGATCATAAAGTCTTTTAGTGAACAAAATCAAAACTGTTAGAAAAACGAAGAATATGATTAATTGTATTAATAATCATCTCGTACATATAACACGTGGCGACTAAACGTGAATTTTTAATTAAATCAACTGCTTTAGATTGATTCACAAAAAGTGTTGATTCGCAAATTTAACTTTTTGTTTTAAAAAGATTTTTGAAAACTCTTGGATTGACTATGATGTGTCGAAATACTTTATTTCTTTTTAGTTATTAATGATTTGGTCAATAAATGTTGATAGATTCTTACTTGTTTTTCATGTTAATCCTCCTGTTTAACACATAATGTTTTTTCTGTTCTGTAGGGAATTATAATTAATTAAGAAGTCTTGTAGTTGTTTCATACACATTTTCAAATTCATTGAAGTCTATTATTTATTTATGATATTGTATTTTGAATTTGTATATTTCTAATTACTGCAATCCATTTCAATTTGCAGTGTATACATCATACAAAGAATGTATAGTCGATTGAACAAATCTAGAAGAATTAAAATACCAGATGTTATTGAAATAAATCTATAAAGTATGAGCGATCACTAATTTTTAATTAATTGTCAGTTTTTTATTTGATTTTTCAACAAAATAATAATACAAATTACATTTTCGTTCGTAAAAGTTTTATTGTTGTTTGCATTAATTTATTTTAGATCGTTCAATCAGCATGTTTCAGTATAAATGGATTAATGATGCTGGCAACAACTTTAGGATTATTCATATAAAGATGATGAGTACCAAACACGGTGTAATGTTTAAAGTCTTCAGATCGCTCTTCAATTACTTTGAGGACTTTATTCTAGAACTGAAGAATCGTTAAATCGTAATTATTACTTAATTTCATCGATATTTATATACTTAGTTATTATACAGTATTTTATAGATCATAATTCCGTTTATACATAATCATAGAATATTCTTAAAATCATTTTGATTGATTTTTTTTATAACATTGAGCCCTTATCAATGGGCTTTTTAACGCACAAAGTAATTTTATTCACGCTTAATCCTTATCACTAAAATTATTACTCATATATATCCCACGATGAAAATATCTCGCAAAAATAATAAGACTGAAAATATTCTCAAGGGTCATTAACTTAATGCCATATCCATCGTTGGTACCATAAAAACAAAATTGATATGGCAGTAAAATTCCAAAATGCATACTTGAGTTTTCTTAAAAATCTATTTTTAAATTAATATGTCCTCTAATAAAATAAAAGATAATCTTAATAGGCACATAAACTTAGACGGACTTAGTAATAATATAACAAGTTACCGATTTTTATCGATAAAAAAAAATTGCTTAGTTAGTTGTCAGCCACTGATCAGGAGAAGCAAATAATTACCAAAATAATTGAACCTAAATTGAACCTAGATAATGTTGATTTATTTAATGAAAAGAATCGGAAATATTCACAATAAAATATTTGATTGTATCTAGCGAAATTTTTTAATACAATAGAAATGCATTTTTTCAATGTATTTTTTTTTTCAGTGTACTTATTAAATTCAAAGAGGAATCTATAGAAAGAATTAACTACCTAATTAGGACCTAACAAAAATTGCTACTCAGAAAAAAAATATTCCAAATAAAATGAATTATTTAGTCAAAGATGAATGAAATTTATCGAGTAAATAATAACGTAAGATAGAGGTGATATTTAAGGATGAAATGATTTACAATGTCAACATTGACAAAAGTCAATGGAGTGACACGATGGAACGGAAGTCCAAGCCTCTTGACTTAAGGTCCGGGGATGAGAAACTAAATTTGGACGATTTCGTGCAGCATATAGTGTCTCCGGCACATAGTTAATGACTGAGCGATCGTGAATGGTTGGCTGTCGAGCGACGAGGATGACGCGTGCACGTCGTAGATCTATAGTCTCCCTTTCGATTCTCATTGTCGTTCGTTCGTCGTCGCTCTCGACTTTCATGCATGTGTGTATGTGTTTGTCCGACTGTCTCCGCTCAGGAAACGTTAACGCTACTCGCAACGACATCCGCGCGGGGTCCAATCAATCGTTTCAATTCTAAATAGTCAGTAAATCAGCAAACACCCGAGGAAATTTAAGAGATACAGTAAATTATCTCCACTCAGTTGTGAAACATTTGCTGAAATATAAGAATAAATTCATCTTAGAAATTTTCTCGACTTTTGTTAAATTATATTCAAAAGTCTCGAATGACATCTGTGTCAATATATAAGTGTATGATTGAGTAATTCTCAAGAGATACTGCTGCAGAATGGACCATTGGAGTAACCCTTAGGGAATTACTCATTCAATCATCGATTTTATTTAGTTAATAAAACGATTATCTCCTCCTTTTTTCTCGCCCTCTCTTTTTTTCGATATGCTCAATGTTCATCATCGTATTTGTCACACTGTTGTAAATTCACCCTCATCGTGAGCGCTCGACCAAAAATGTAATTTACATCCTTTTATGTTGACGAAATTGAAATATTTTCGAATTAATTCGATCACTTGGGGATTATGACCATGCTAGGTATTAACATCGTTTGACTCTAAGGATAATTTCTAAAAAATATTGTCTTAGCTCTTTTTATTATATATTCTATAAAAAAATAATGATTGTAATAAATCATTGTGTCATGAAATAAATTTTCTGTTAATAAAACTAAAAGATCTTGGCACCAAGTTTTTTTTTTTTGATTCCATTGATTACTTTTGACTTTTAAATTAAAAACTATCTCACTAAATTTTCTCTAATACAATTTAATAAATTCATTAAACTCAATTGTTACAATCCAAACTAAAGAAAAAGAAGCTATTTAAAAAAACACTTCAACTTAATCAATCGATTAATCTAATAATTCTAAAATACTAAATAAAAAGTTACTGATACACTTTTAAGACTTATAAAACTCCATTACTCCTCGCAGTATTTTTTATATCCCAACAAAAGTAATAATTGATAGTAATAAGTTAAGTTGATTACAAGATAAGTAATTTGTGAGTGGCAATAATTAAAAATTAATTAAAAGTCTTTGCAAACTTATAACGTCGACGTTCAATAAAATTTGCGTTAGTTGCTCCGATTTCTGTATTCAATTAATTCTCTTAAAAATTTGTCGCTCGCATTAAATCTCGTTGGATTAGAGGCAATCTCGTTTTAGTCTTTTCTCCCCCAATAGCTTGGTAGCTTTTATAGTACGCAGCTCAGTTTTCTGCTCTCCCGTTCTCTTTCACCTCTAAGCTATCATCGGACGCGTTCTAAAGTAAAACTCGGAGATACACCGTGCTATTTACTCTACACCCAGTTCCATAGCAATTTATTAGTTTTAATAGAAGCTACCAAGTCTTGGAATAAATATTCATGCTGAGATGTGTCGTATGGTACGTGGCCGATACTCTGAATTTGCCAAGGGGACAAATGCAAAGGGCCATTAGTGAGATTGCTTGTAGTCCTGCTTTTATAAACTTGCTTCAATCAAGCCAAAAAATTCGACCAAATGTAGCATATGAGCATCAGATTTCATCCCTCAAATAATTTTGATTGATACAAAAGATTTTTTAATGATAGACCATTTTGAAAAGTCTTTTTACTTTCCATCAAGAGATTATCATTTTTTTTTCCATCCAACTTTAATTATCACGTTGCAACAAGACAATATGACTCAAGTTTATATAAATTAAATGTCGTAAGAAGATAACTTAATAATTGTTGGAAGCCGTAATATTATATCTTCGGACAGTAATGACAGGGTGCGCCGAGATATGCCTGTGGCTGTGGATCGATAAAGCTTTAGATTGCTAGAAAGATAGTCTCTAAGGCTGAGTTTCATTTCTCTAAAAGACAACGACAGCGTGAAAGTTATTATTAACAATCTTCATTGCAGACTAACGATAAAAATGACTTTAACTTTTTTGACTCAAAAAGTAAAATTTTATTATCTGATTGCATTAAATAATGATCAACAATGTCATTAAAAAATTAATTCCCATAATACCTACAATTAATTTGTAATTCTATATAGCAAATAGTTTTCCTATAAGTCGTTAAAATTTTTTTGATTAAGAATTCATTATAAAATTCAATAAAAGTAATATTAAATTTCAGATAAATTAGCAGTTGTTGAACATGTTTACCATTAATGTACATATTGTGCTAATCAATATTATGAAATAGATTGTAAATAATTATATTCCATGGATTATAAATGTAATATGCTTGACGATTAATGTACGTCCAGTTATATTATAGTTTGTTGTTGAAGTAGAACTTATTCAGAAGTCAGATCTTTCAGCCTCTACTACTGGCGTTTAAAACCACCAACAAGTCGATTACTCACCAACATTGATTCGAAATACGACTCGTTTATAGTTACCTCCAAGTATATTCTGTTTTATTAACAGTTTTTGCGAGATATTATCTTACATCATACAAACTCAAGTTGCTCTAGC